GTGCAACAGCTTCCCCGTTCCTCCCCAAATCAGCCAGCCAAGGAAGCCGCCCAGGTCCAGGCACCGCTCATTGCACAGATGAGACCGGTCACAGAAACTCTTCTGCTTTTACCGCTCGCCCCCGGCTTCTCCCGTCGCTGCTGTCCGGAGGCAAAGCCCTTGCCTCCTCCTCGGGACAGCGCGTCCCTTAAAGACATTCCCAAACCCTTCCCCTGTGAAAAGCAAAATCGCTGGCACAAGCTTTTTACAGTAGTTTTCTGTTCACGCTGCAGTATAACGCAGGTGCGTTCAAGAGTTCCTGCAATCCTGACTGAGGAAATTAATTTTATGGTGAATTCCTCTTTGACAGAGAAAAATTCACAGGAAGAAGCAACACTCTGTAAGAAAACGAATTTGGCTTTTGCGTGCTCGCACACAGCTTGATTATAAGCTGCCTCCTGCTTTCAGAAAGCAAAGAGCACAGCGGGGGATTTGTAAGGGGCAAAAAGCAGAATCAGGCTCCAGCATCCCCACTGCGCCCTACCAGGAACACCCCCTGCACCCCCCAAATCCAGTCATCACACCAAGGCAACGGCACGGTGCTGGGTGGGATGGGGAGGGGGGTAACCAGCCCCCCGTGCTGATTCTCAAAGGAAAAGCCTCTGATGGAATTGGGGGGGGGGGGGGGGGAAGAAAAAGAGAGGTCCCCAGGGACCCTGCCTCCCCCTCCACTCTCGTGTTTCCAGCCAGGGTGTACGAGCTCCCGCCACGTGGGCCGGGGGTGCGGGAGTGGAGATGCCAAGGCAGCGAGGGAAGGGACGTGGGTCCAGAGGGGGACGACACGTGGGGTCCCCTCCCTGCCAGCCCGGACCCCACCTCGCACGGCAGGCGTAACCCCCCCATGGGATGAGGGGCTCGGGGTCGCCCCAGGGTTCATCGGTGGGTGCTTTTGTCTTCTAAAAGACCCAGAAGAGACTTGGAGAGAGGGAGAGACCACCCCGACACAGTGCTGCTCCCCTGCACCGCTGCCCCGGGGACACGAGGAGCGTGGCCAGCAGCAGGGGCCCTGCCCCAGCCCCTCTTTTCCTACACCCAGCCCCGGGGGAAGCCACCCCTGCGCGCTCCGCATCCCCACGGCAGCCAAGGGAAGTGCAAAATTCAGCCTCTCTTGATCTCAAGCAGCTCCAGCCCCATCTGGTTCCCGTTAAATCAGCCACACAAGGTGGAGAGGGTTTCCTCCCCCCACGCTATGGTGTGCAAAGAGAGGGAGGTAAAACCAGCTTTTTTTTTTAAGATATGGCTGCCCTTCACTTTACCTTCTTGCCTGGAAGGCAGCCAGGAGCAGCTCGTGCCTCCCTGCTCACACCTGGAGGGGACCTTCTCCCCGGGGCTCACTGCACACCCCACGCCGGGCACTGCTCCTCTGCGCAGGCATCGCTCCCCCCACCCCGGGCACACGCTCGCTCTGGGTCTCATTCCTCTTCTGTCCCCGCAGCAGTTTTGTCCTGAACCGCTATTTCCAGCCCATGGGACCTTCTGATGGTTTTTATCCCTGCGAGGAACCGGGCAGGCGAACCACAGTCCCGCAAGCGGGGAGGGATCGCTCTGCAACATCCAGCTGCTGCCCGAGGACAAGCAACAGCTCAGCCCCCGCATTGAGAAACACCCCAAAAGCAGACGTTAGGTCACCCTAAACCCTGTCTAAACTGCCGTAAAACCTACATCACCTTTCCAAAAAAGGCTCGAGCGCGCTGCCCAGCTGAAGGAGCGCCGATACCCGCGCACAAAAACAAAGATCCAACCCCACGGCTGAGACCCCACCTGCACGGGGCTGTGTTTTCCTGCCATCGTCTGACAGGCCAAATAAAGTGGGGTTCCCCCTGCCCACACCCCCCCACGAGCCGTAAATGAGACCACTCACAAAACGAGGGGCTGTAATTCAAGGGCTCGCCCTGGCACGGGCGGAGAGGAGCCGCGGAGCAGCCAGATCGCAGGAACGGAGCCTGCACACCCGGTGGCAGCAAAGAAACGCGGAGGAGGGCGGGCAGGGGCCTGGCAGGCAGCACCGAGATGCTGGGGGGGCAGATGGGGTGCAAGGGGGGAGCCCAGAAGGCCGGACCCCGCAAGCACAGAGGGGTCAGGGAATGGCAGAGGCGGTGCCAGCACATGCAAAGCACCGGGTGTTTTAAGAGGTGAGAATCCCACCCTGCTTCCTTAACCATCCTTTTTGAGGTTTTAAGCACATCCCAAAGCGTCCCGCCCCCGACTCAGGCCGTCGGCTGCTGGTGTTCCCAGCTCCCAGCCAGCCCCGTGTCTGCAACCCCACTCTGCTTTAAAACCCCCAAAACTTTAAAACCTCATGCTCGGCCGGGGCCGAGCTCTGCACCAGCCCAGCTCCAAGCGCGAGGTGAGGGCAGGAGCCCCGCAGCACCCCTCCTGCCACGGGCAGGCAGCACCCAGAAACCTTCCCACCGTCGGCACAGGGGAAAAGTCCTCAGCCTGGGCGAAACCCCCACCGGGTCCTTGCAAGGTTACCAGGAACAGGGTGCTAACCCGCCTCCAAAGCCGCAGAGCATCGCGGCGCTACGGGCAAAAAGCAAAGTGCTCGAGACCCTGATGGGGGGGGCCGAGGCAAGCAGGGACCCGGTTGCGACACCCACCCTTGAGCTGCTTTGGGGTACAGGGGTTCCCCCCGGCAAACGGGGCCGGAGCAGCACCCGGCTCCTCAAAACGCCCCGGCCTCACCGCTGGTTTGCAGAGCCGCTGGGTGCTCTCCCCTTTCTTCCTAATTATCTCCCTGCAAACACGCTGCTTATTTGCAAAGCCCGTGGCTCTGAAAACAGCCCTCCGGGATACAGCGCGGCTGCCCTACGGCGAGCTGGAATGAATTCAGGCTCCTGCCCGAGGTTTCACCCCTCTGGGAGCAATGCAACCAGGCGTTTCCCCAAGCACGCCAGCATCAACTCATCGAGCACAAGGCAGCAAGGAAGGTCCTGTGGGTATCGTGGGCAAGTCGCAGCCAACCCTGGAAACATCCACCAGCCGTTGCAAGCGTCCCCAGGCGCCTGCATCTTGTGCTCGGAGCGCATTAATAAATACTTTTGCATCATTCGAGGTTTGAAGGAAGGAGCTTTCCTGAGAGGCAGCTCACCCCGGCTTGGTGCTCAGGTGGTTAGTGACACCCAGAGGGAAAAAGAAGCAGAATGGAGGAGGTAAACTGAGTCACACAGCTGTTTCATTAAAACACTATCTCAAAATAACAGACCTGAGGGGAACCACGACTGCTCTGTCCCCTAAGAGCTGAGGTTGGTTCAGGAGCAATTTCCCCTTTGGATGTGTCAAAAGAGTCAGCTCTATTTCTCATGTTAGCTCGTGTCAGGTATAACTCCACCGCTATTTTTTAAGCCCACATAACGCCAATTAGCCACTTAAAATTTTACTCTTGGATATTTCCAGATGGCTTCACGGTGGAGCGGCTACACCGAGCGATTTTTGGGTTGCCCGCAGATGACAGTGACAGACAGATTGATGGCAATGAAGTTATTTTGTCTCCTTTCGCAGCTGACTAAATTTGCATTGGTATTTTCATGGTACAGACTCCACCTTTCATCTAACATGATTAATGCTGTTGTAAATACAGAGAAAGAACCAGCTGCTTCTGGCTTCTTAGCTTCTGCTGAGCAGCTGATGAAAAACAGTCCTTTTGTTCAAGCATCTCTAAAGTCTCTGCAGACTTTATGAAGAGCCTTTTATTTCAGAAGGTTAGAGAAACGCGGTGTCTAGAGCTGATGTATCCTGCTTTTCTCACCACAAATCTGGATGGTATCTGCTGCAATCCAAGCACCTGGGGCAGCGCACCCGGTGCCAGCCCGTGCTGTCAGGATGGGTCCCTCATCAGCCAGGGATTAACAGGGCATCGGGTACAGAAGGTTTTAATCATGTTTTTACAGGGTCCTCAGCCAGAGAAGGGGCTGGACACCCTGGAGGGCTCCAAAACCAGCCCCCGGGGCCCCACAGATCCTCTGGCAGGAACAAGGTGGCTGAGACACAACAGCACTTTGATCCACGAGCTGTAAGGGCCGGGCAGGTTATTCACAGCCTGGACACACCGCGTTGTCCCCAGACCACCTAAATCGCAGCGTGGGGCTGGTGAAGGAAGGGGGCGAAGGGAACGTGGGGTGCTACGAGCCTCAGGTGTAACAAACAGAAAAAGGGAAAAAAAAAAAAATTAAATAAAAAAGCCACAAAACGTTTGGTAACAGCCCGTCGAGGAGGCTCGGCAGGAGGGTGCCGTTTGCGAACCGGCCACCAAGAGGTGCCAGCAGCTCTTCCAGAGCCGAGGCAGCTCCTCCGGCTCCCGCTTTGCACCAGATTTCTTCCTTTCTCCCATTTCTTTAGCCACGCCAGCCCAGTTTCAGCTCTGCCGGGGGGTGGCTGGGTGTGGGGAAGCAGCAGGGCTCCCTCTGCCATCACTCACCCCACACACCCAGGGGTTTGCTCCCGGTACGAAAATCCACCCGCAGCCCAAATCCCCCTCCCCAGCAGTTGGGAAGAGCTGAATTAACCCCTCGCCGTGTTCACACCAGTCCCGGAGGGAAGCACGACAGGTTTTGGGGGCAGTGCTAGCGCTGCCAAAAGCCAAACTGGGTGAGAACGGGAGCAGGGATGCCGGGAGGATTGAGGGTCTTTATTGCCATGAATTACAGATTCTAGTGGCCCTGCTTGGCAGGAATGGAAAACAAAGCCACCGCACGCTTTCCAACAGCTCCAGCAGCTGCTCCTACCCATTGGGATGCTGCTTTTGTGGAAAATCTCAGCATTTCTCTGTCATGTCTGACAAGCGCAACCGCTAGGAAAATGCAACAGCACTAGGAATTTCTTCTGCTCCTTCTGCCCACGCTTGTGCTTCCAGACAAGTTTCAGTCAAAGCATCTCCAACCACCCGGGCTCAGCAGCAGTGGGGGACAGACAGACAACCTCCAAGAGGCAAAGGCACGCACAAAACCGGCGTTGTGGCTTACCTGGCGCTTTGGAAGGTCGCAGATGCGGATTTTCCAATAGCCCCAAATCCAACTCCCACTGCCAGACCCTCTGGAACAGGAAGGAAAAAAACCAGTAAGGTCAAACCCTACAACAGCCCTGAGACCTTCCCTCTTCCTGAGCTCCAACGGAGCAAAGACTGGCATGAGCAGGAAAGCAGGACTTTGGGCCAGGTCATTAACCACCTCATTTTAATCTAAATTCATTTAATCTAAACTCAATGCAAGAGCCTGCCCCACTGCCCAGGGTACTTCACCATGAACGCAAACCGACAGTTTCTCGGGAAGCCAACAGAGAGAAGAGAGATTTCTGTATTTATGAGTGCACTGGAGGGGAAAAGATCACGATCCCCACCAGCTGAAATGCTAATTTAATAAGGAACATAGCAGTGCAAAACACCAAAGTCTGCTCAAAAGGTTCCGGCTTGGCAAACCTCTCTGCAGAGAGGTGTCTCTGCAAGGTGCAGACAAGCTGGTGCCACCGGGGGGTTGCAGAAGAACCAAACACCAACTTCTCCCATAAATTCCCTGGGATTTGTGCTAAATCAGGACCAGGCTCCCAGCAATGCCCCCCTCCCCGGTGCCTGGTCTCCCCACACCCAAACACCGGCACAACGCCTCTACTGTACCCAAAGCGGAAGGAAACCCAAACTCCACGAGAAAATTCCCACCTTGCAGATTATTTTAGGTTACAGTTAATCCCATAAACTCCAAAGAAAACCAGCCGAGGAGCCTTCCCAGGGGGGCAGCGGGTGCAGGAGACCTGCGATCTGCTGCTGCCTCTGTGCAGGGATAACTACTCCATCCTTCCCCACTCCCCTCCTGCCCTTCCACAAACTTCTCTTGCCCTCCCACCACCGGCACAGCTGCCTCATCCCTCCCAGAAACAAACCAAACCAAACCAAAATCTTATTTTCAGAAAGCATCAAACCACTGCTACGTTTTTTCCTTTGTTCAAAATCCCCATTTTTGGTTTTTTGCAGCCTCTCTGGTATTGCTCCCCTCCAAGCAAGGCGGTGGGGGAAAAAAACACTCGAAGAACAAAAGCAAACCTGTTTGTGTAGCTGGCTGGGTTTTACAGCCTTCAAAGGAGGCAATTACCCGCTCTGGCTGCTGGCAGCCAGACGAGGGGACAGTGGGGACTATTCAGATGAGCATTCAAACAGGTTGAAAATGTCACTGAGAGTGTTTACCTGTGTACTGGAGGATAAGGTCTCAGAAGAAGAGGACCGTGTGTGTGTTTGTGGTCTTCTGAATTTCCAGTTGCCTTGGAAACACATCAGAAAAAGCAGCACTAACTCGGATAATCACGGCATTTACATCCTCGAGGCCAGGCTGAGCACAGAGAACTGAAAGACTCGACGACTCCTCAGAGCCCAGATCCGAGGCTCAGCGAGGAGACAGAGCAAACGGCAGCAGCGATCAACCCTGCGCACAGGGCTACGGGGCGAGGAGACTCCGAATTGTCCCTGAAAAACCACGACTGGATGCTAACTCCAGCTGGTGACACAGCCAGAGGAACCGAGGCGCACGGGGCACACGCCACGCTCGTGCAAAGTGCTCACACTGCCCCCAAAACCACCCGCCCGGGGAGATGGGCGAGCAGCCGGGGGCCGGAGCAGAGCCCGGGGGGCTGCACTGCCCACGGCCCTGGCTTTGAAGGTCTCTGCTCTGCAGGCAGTCAGGCAAAATTTGGGAGAAAGATCTTCTTAAAGATGTTTAACAGCTGTGCTCAGCACGGCTGTGAGGATGTAATGAGGACACAAATGGGTCTGGCACTCTGTTCTGAAAGATTTCTTTTTAAGCGAGGCTTGCCCAGAGAGCAAAACTCAAAGGACAAAAGTGTTCATTTGTGTGAAAAAAAAAAAAAAAAACCAACCAAACAAAAATAGCTTTGACAGAGGGGAAAAACCACAACAATTTCCCCGCTGCAAAGCAAGTCTCATGGAATAAGAAACACGGCGGCACAATTAATGAAAGTACAAATCACATATACAGGGAAACAAATTATGGGAAATTAAAATCAGCAGATGGTGCGTAGTGAACTGCTTATTTGGAGAGGGAGAAGCAGCCGATGGTGGAAGCTGCAGCACCGTGGAGGTGCTCACCAGCACAGAGAGGAGGAGGTGACACAGCAGCTCCCGGCCATGGGCTTGTCCAGGTCCCCACGGGAGGACACGAGAGCTGGGGCAGGACGAGTAGGGCCACGAACCGCCCAACGGGCTGCTGACCTCAGAGCATCCAGCGGGAACTCACAGCCAAGCAAGTCTGGTGTCCCGCGTGGTCCAGAAACAGCACGGACCCCAGCACATCCCACCGTCGCTGCTGAGGCTTGGGAAGCCTCCAGTTACCTGTAGTAGATATTGCGTGACGCCCTCAGCCCACTGCTGAGATTTGTTTCAAATATTTCATTTAGAAAAGCCTGCCAAGACTACGCAATAAATTCACCGCTTCAATAAGACAGGTTCAGCCTCTTTCAGATAAGATGTCAAGCCTCCAAACGACTCTGTTTTTGCAGGTAAGCAGGCAGATACACAAAGATTTACATGGAAAATGATCAGAAAGAGCTTGCTGCCAGTTTGCCCCGCACTCAGAGCTCACAGCCAGCTCAGCCCTTCAGTTGCAGCCCCTCTCTCGGGTTATTCTGCACATACTCCAATTATAAATAGCCCAAACGGCTTCTTCAGGTGGGAAAAAGATACAGAAAGAGAAAGGTTAATGTTCCCGTGTCAACCACTTACAGATACGCTGCACTGAAGGCTCTGCAAATGGATCACTAGGACATGAGGTCACTGAAGACGGGCAAGGGAGGGCAGGTCTCCTTACCCACCGAAGGCTCAGCCATCAGCTTGAAAAACACCCAGGCCTGTGCAATTCCTGGCTCTTGGCACCGTCACGAGCCAAGGCAGAGAGGAGCACAGTCCCGGGCAGCCCTGAGCGACTGAAGGATTTACAGTGGGCCAGCACTGTGCGGAGGGCAAGGCGAAAGCCCCACAGTTTCGGATGTGAAAGAGGGTGGAAGGCCAGGCGTGCGCGTCGCGGGCAACCTTTCCGTGTCAGAGAGGGGTTTTCTGAGGATTTCCGTGGCTGAAGCAGTTGCCAGCCCCTCGCGCAACCGGTGATGGAGCCGGAAAAGCTGGAGCATCCGCACAACCCTGTTAGCTGGAGGGCTCGCGTGGTGAAGGCACCAGGCTGGGGCATTAATTCAGCATCTCTTCGCAGAGGTGCAGAACAAAGACTGAAAAATATGACCAATCTCAGCCACTGTCAAGAAAATGCTTCTATTTAACCTAAACAAAGGGATTTTGCCTCTGTTGGGCTTCCTTGGCATTACAATTCAAGACGCTTGATCCTGATAAGGCATTACGCAGGGATCAGACTAATCCTACGCTAACTTAAGGATCGGCTACAAACCTCTCAGTTGGCAGTGCTCATCGCAAAGGCGTGTTTTCCTCTCTGCTTGTTTTCCAAGACAAGGAAAAAGCTTCAAAACCTCAAACTGAAGAGAGATAACCGTGCTGGAGGGTCACTACGGAGTCTCCCGTTGTTAACGCCAGACGGCTCCAGGATGTGTTACAGCAGCCTGCCCACCGCGGTGGCGAGGGCAAAAAGCCTGATATCCATGGGTCTCCTTACGTGCTACATCTGGTACGCAGGCTTGATCTAAACCAGGGCATTTGCATAGCACCACGGACCGTCCACTAGCTCCAAAGCCAAGGGGAACCCGTTTTCCCTGCCCTGAGAGCTTACACCACCTCTAGGGCCAAGCCCTGCCGTCCTCCTCCGCTCTCACTTTGCTTCTGGTTGTCGCTTTGTGCAGGCTCAGCTCCCTCCTCCGCAGGCTCAGAGGCCGAGGGCCATGGGTTGGACCACGCCGGAGCGGCGATAGCGAAGACAGGGCAAACGAGGATGTTTCTCTTGAGTCCAAAAACCATCTTCCCAGGGAAGGCAGCCAAGGGAAAATTCAGAAAGGAAAAGCCAAGAGGGAACATCAGAGCAAGGAGGAGCCGGTGCGAAGGGAAGGATGGTGGGAAGGGGAGCAGAGCAAAGCTAGATGAGCACAGAGTCCCGTCGAGGCACCACGGGCAGGCAGAAGGTGACAGCGCGGTACGGCACGACGGCCTCAGCGCTGAGCGGAGCGGCCGACGAGGGATTTACACGGCGCGTGAAAAGCTGGCGAGGGGGACGTCAGCCGAGGGGGCAAAGTGAGGGCCACGCTGCTCCCAGAGCCCCTCTGCCACCTTCAGGCTTGGCCCGAGGTCCCCGGCCCCCTCGAGGTTCATCCACCGGCATTCAAACACCAGCGAGCAGAGGGGACTCGGATGCATGCGGCATGCCGTTACAGCTCTAGCTTTATTTTTACTTTAATTTCACTTCAGTGCCCCATCAGCAGAGCTGCAAAACAGCACAAGATGTTCCGTCTTGTTGAGCCAGGAGGACAGTGACAATGTTCCCGTCTGCTCTAATCCACAGGAGCACACAAATTGGCTGGGATGGGCTTTGGGACGAGGCCCGGCACTGATCCATCTCCTCCCCACTTCGGCATGGAAAGCTCTGCACGCTCCCACTCCACGCTGGGATGTTCCTGGGGAGGCCAAAGCTCCGCAGCCCCCAGGGGACCACGTGGGCTCCGGAGACGGTGCCTCACCCGTGGTGCTCTGGGCTACGGGAGGGTGTCCTGCCTTTGGACTAGAGCTTTCCAGTGAACTCTTCTCCTTGGCAGGGAGGAGAGGAAGGTTTGCTCAGGCAGGAGCGAGGTGCTGGCACCGAGGCAGCCCACAGTACGCGTGGAATGGTCCTGGGGTGCCTGGATGAGATTCTGCCGCTGCCAGTTCCTAACCAGCCCTGATACCAAAGACCTGGACGAGGATAACGTGCAAAATACACAAATAGCTTTAAAAAGGAGAAATTTACTGAAAAGATGCTGCGACTTTGAAAGCAGAAGGCTCAGTCGTTAACAGAGATGCTCCGGCCAGCCCAGACTCGCTGCTCCAGTACACACTGACGGTTCTGTACGTGTTCAAAGGGGAGGAAACCCCCAAACGATGTAGA